TCATCATTTACATTAGCATTTGTTGTTTTGTTATCAGTTGACATTGTATTATTTGTATCGGTTTTGCTCGTACCATGAGCGTGTGTTATCAAGTTTTCATTTTCATTAATGTCATTATCGTTTATAACCTTGCCACTCATTTCATTTTCTTCGTTTTTGTCGTTATTGTCACCATTATCATTTAATGTGTCATCATTATCGTGATCCACATTTTCGGGTAGATTTTCAGTTTCCATAGTTTCATTATTGTCAGCAGTTTTATCAAGGGAGGGGCTATTTTCATCAACAACAGTGTGATCAATAGGTAGATATTCGGGGTCGGGGTGTGTGTGTATCATTATTTTGCACGGAATGCCCACGAACAGGGTCACCCAAAGTTGACTGTTGGGTTGCTGTACAGTTTCGCATAATATGCCCCTTTTAAACCACTTGTGGCACACGATCTCATCAGTAGACAAGTAAATTCTATATTGTCTCTCCTCAAATGTGACATTAATAACACCGTCAAGTTTATTACCATCACATAGCATATAAACCTGGTGGCGAAAAGATTTAACATGTTTCAACTCAGGTTTTTACACCCAAGTGGAATTAAACGCAGACTACTCACGACACGGCCATACCGTGACAATTCAGTTTCGAGAACATGATTGGGTATGAAGGGTGGTACACCCGAAAGAATCACTTTAGTGGCGGGTTTTACGAGTGATTGTACATGAATGAAGCAGTCTCCCACTGAGAGACCAGTAGTGCAAACAGTTTCAACAGCGTTGATCGAATCCAGAAAAAATATGACACTTCCGTTTGCACGAGAGGCAGCAATAATACAAGCAGGTTTGAGTATAGAGGAAACACTTTTAACATAGGTTTCAATTGAAATCCCGTCAATCGACTCACATTTGAGACCGTGTTTACGTGTCAACCCTGCAAAATGGTTGACATGTGTACCTGCCGTGGAGGCCGCCATCTTGGAAAGGCCCCACGACAAGCGAACTGAAAGTGAAAAACAAAATCAAACTAAAACACGGTAGACTTATACCGTAAAGTCAAAATAAATAAGCGTACGTATGTAGTAAGTATTAACAAAAAAGATAGTACAAAAATAGTAGTAACTTACTATTTGAGGCAAAAAAACGTGTTTTTTGAGGAGCACTCGCAACGCGTGGCAGACATGCGCAGATAGATAGATAGATAGATAGATAGATAGACGGACGACAGACGCAGGACAGAAACCCATTCCATAGGCTCAGCGGACCTATGGTACGTTGAGCCAAAAAAACACAGAATTATACTTGTGAATAAATGAGTTAATTTCAAGTTATACAACGCGTGAAATCAGGCAAACGTATTCTCAAATCTTCATATTAGTAAATTTTGCCGGTTTTTTTTGCAATAATAACACTAACATTGTTGCAACATTACAAACGCGCACAGCGACTAAGCCCAAAAGTTGAAACAAGCAAGCTTATTGTGTGGGCAAAAATGAAAGACGGTATGTGAATGTTTGAACAATAACAACAATCTACGTTGTCGTAACTCAAAGTTACTCAACTGTTAATTGAACATCGAGTTACAATTTGGGCATGATTTCACAAAAGTGGGCTTGGTTTCAAAAATATGGGCATGATCATTTTTGTAACTCGATATTCGTATCTCAAACAATTCAGCATCTCGTCGACAAACTACGTAGAATAAATAAATGACGCATTTACGAGTCAACAAGTTAGGCCAGACTTTTATTATCCCTTGTTTCGCGAACCTGTCGAATGAACAGGAGCCGAAAATGACTGTAGCCTTGATTGAATTGTCAGCAAATGGACTGCGGGGGCCCTGATGCACCTTGATATGCTGGATATATTCTTCTATCTTTATACAATAAATATTGTAGCCCATGGTGAAAGTCTTATTTTTGTAGAAACGAAATTATCACTGACGTCCAAAGGACATGGAGTTGCAGCAACTTGTGTGAAAATTTGTCATCAAAATTTAAATTATCAAATCACCAGAAATTACAACTTCAAAAAATCAATAGTTTACCTTCCTTATCCAAACAAGTGAAAATTTGAATGACTATATTCATAACAATAAAAGCCAAAAGCCAACTAAATAAAGCTCAAATACAATACATGTAGATCAGAAGCACCTAATAGTTCTTGACTTATATTCATTTTTAGAAAGGAGAAATATTTCTTACCCTGATGAACAGTCATGATTATGGTAACAACCCAGGCAAGGACCACCCAAACTTAAAATCTGTAATTAATTAGAACACAATATGATTTATTTTAAAAATAAAGGATTTATTTGTCACTATCAAGTGAGATCCTCACTTACAGCTGGCACAACTATCTCACAATCATTCTCTTGGAATATTCAGGGGTACCAATGAAAGTGTAGCTTTTTAATGAAAATCACAGCTTTGACACCATGCAGCATAGCTTGGTCAGGAAAAGCTTAGCTGCAGGAATGAAATCCGCTAGTTTTGACATCGAGAACTCAAGCTTTGAACATATTTTGATGTTGAGGGCGTACACAACATGGCTGTCTCCAAAAGCAGTGTTAGCGACGGCAAGTATTTTACTCGTTTTCTAAACAAAATCACCAAGTTATACTGTGTAATATGCCGCAATCAGTGAAGTTCAGGTTCAATTTCATTTCTAGAAAGTTTCAGCCACCATTTTACGAAACTTGCAGAGAAATCTCAATTCCAATTTTCGAAGCGAACAGGCTAGCAGGACGTCCTATTCTTATACATGTACTTGGATTTTATGACAGTGTAAAGAATATGTATGATCATCATACCAACTTTGATTCAAATCGGCCCAGTCATCTCTCCAGTTTAGGTATCAGAAATAGCAAATTTTACATAAAGAAACTTGACGCGCATGTGTAAAACATTATGCATTGTCTTCATGTAGAGTTTGAATGAAATCCGTCAATGGGTGTCCGAGATATAGCTCCGGACGTACATAGGTACGTACGGATGGACGGACGGACAGAACAAACCCAAATTAATAGTCCCCGTTTTTGGACTTAAAAACATACTACTTGGTTTACCAAAAGTTTACAATAAGAATTATTTCATATACACTAAATAATCAAAGAAAGCTTAGAAAGAACTCCCATGTGCTGAGAGTATTGGAGACACATTAAATATAATTCAAAATTACTTGACAGAGATAGTGATAGTGATGGAAAAGCCGAAAACTAATAATGCAAATCAGAAAATTAATATGAACAGATTTGAATGGAAAACTAATGAGGTCTGCGCAATGTAACAGACCATCTATGTACCAAGTTTTATTGAAATGTGATTGGAACCAAAAAAAATTATAAGTTATTATGCTAATTAGGGAATTAAAATAAACAGATTTTAACCCCAAACTAATCAGGTTTGTACATTGTCCTAGAGCATCTTTGTACTAAGTTTCATTGAAATGGAATAATTAGTACTTTAGATATCAGTGTGATAGCTTAAAAGTGGTTAATTATGTAAATTAGTAATTAATATGTACAGATTTTAACCCACAATTATCCAGGTCTGTCTATTGTCCTACAGCATCCATGTACAAAGTTTCATTGAAATGTGATGATTAGTACTTGAGAAATCAGTGTGAAAGCTTTTAATTAGGTAATTAATATACACAATTATTTACCCTAAAACTAATCCGGTCTCTGGATAGTCCTAAAGGATCTATGTACCAAGTTTCATTGCAATGTGATAATTAGTACTTGAGATATCTGTGGAAAAGCTGAAAATTAACTAATTATGCAAATTAGGTAATTAATATGCACAAATATTTATCCCAAAACAATCAATCGCTGCATAGTCCTTGAGGATCTATTTACCAAGTTTCATTGAAATGTAATGCTTACTACTTGAAACATCAAAAGCTGAAAATTAATTAATTATGCAAATTAGGTAATTAATATGCACTGACATTACCCTAAAAACTATTAGGTCTGTGCAGTGTCCTATGACATCTATGTACCAAGTTTCATTGAAATGTGATGTTTACTACTTGAAACATCAAAAGCTGAAAATTAATTAATTGTGCAAATTAGGTAATTAATATGCACTTTAGTACTTGAGATATCAGTGGAAAAACCGAAAATCATTATGCAAATTAGATAATTAGTAATTAGGTAATTTTTACCAAAAACTAATCAAAACCAAGCATTAGTTCAGAGCATCCATGTACCAAGTTTCATCAAAATCCAATAAGTAGTTCTTTAGATATCAATGGAACAGTCATGGAACAGCTAAAAGTTAACTTATTATCATGCAAATTATTTTAATATGCATGAAATTTTACCAAAACCTGTGTATTAGCCCAGAGCATCTATGCACCAAGTTTCATCAAAAACTGATGTATGGTTCTTGAGATATCAGTGGAACAGACGGACACACATACACACACACACACACACACACATACAGACACACTTCGCACATGGGAGTCAAAAACACTTACCAAAATGAAAAGAAACTTTGTCATTTGTAGAGTTATACTGATGAATAATTGACTCCACAATTCCTACTTTCATGATTGACAACTCATTAGAGAAGACTATATGAGGATAATCTGAAAAACAAAAACAATGTGTACATACCATAATGCCACCAAATGTAAATTATACCTAAGATAACATAATATGGCCAAAAAGAAAGATGGCTGCAAGAGTTTTATCTGATCACAAATTGAATTATGTATTGCTAAAAAAATGGATGTAAGATTTACCAATGACATGTGTATCAGCTCGTACATGATTACGACTATGGGTATGGGCAAACTTTAACTCACACTCCAAGCTGTGCATTTTCATAAGTTGTAAGTTAGTCACTTGGTACACATGTTTCACTTGTTTGTTTGTTTGTTCTCATTAAATTGTAAAGTGAACCCACCATGAAAACATTGTTAGAAAGAGTGTTAATAAAAGGGGTTTCTTCACCTCTGCCACAAGTTCAATTTGAATCTGATTTGTTGAGATATCAGAAATTGGCGAATAATAATTAAATAATCACTATACATTAAACAAGTAACCTGTAGAATGCTGTGTGAGTAATATTTTTATATTGATTTTTGTTGCATTTGAAGCAAATAGTTACCAAACAATGAGAAATCCATAAGATTGAATATATCTCTCAGCTGGCTTCATATGCATAGTTTAAGACTGCCTAACCGGTGCTTACACCAGGTTTTACCTAGACGGTTTGAGGTTACAGCTTCATGTTCCGAGTAATTGCAAGAAATTGACATTACAATAGAAAATAAAAGACTGGCACTCCCATACAATTAATAGCAAGTGAAATTCCCGGGATTGAAACATGTATTTTGAAGTCACTGGTGTAGGCATTGAATGATAACTTAAAGTTGGCATGAAGACGAGGTAGTTTATTTAATCAGTGATGAACTAGAGGCTGATATTATAATTAAGTTTCGTTGTCATATAATTTGTTTATTTCAATTTCTCCTGAAGTCAAATAGAATACCCTGGTGAAAGGATGTTTTGGGGGTGTAGTTTACATTGTGTATGGAGTGGTAGGCTTGGGTTTCATATAATTTGTTCATTTCCAACTCTCATGAAGTCATAGAATTTCACTTAATTTATTTTCGATGAAACGTTTTCAAGCATTACGTGTGAATTCAATTTTCATTGTGCTCTGTCAAATCTCAATAGAGTATGAGGGAAATTTTCACTGGAATTTATTTTAGCGGAAAAATGTTTACATTGAAAATGTACTCCACATTATTACATATGTACTGCAGTTTATTTTGATTCGTCCCTGAAATCAAAATTGGTATTACCACACCCCATATGCAAATGAGGTCTGGGAGCAAACAAGGTAGTCCTTTCAAGAGTGGCGTTTTTCGAAACATAGCAGAAATAATCAATATTTAGAAGTACGATATTTTACCCTTGGGTACATGAATATACTTGCCGATTGAAATGAAATTTGAACAACAGTAATGGAACTTCTTGGCAGTCATTTATTTTGACTAAAACTAATTTGCATATCACCAATGCAATAATGTTTTTGGTAATATTTCACGATCAGTATGTGAATGAACATGGTATTGGCGATCCGCTCCACTACGATTGCCCTTAAAATCACTTTTGTGTGTCTGTGTGTAATTTCCAATGTTTTCACATATAAATTCTTCTGTGTTTTTTTGGCTTGGCCAATTTCACTCAAACTTAGCAGGTAGGCCACACCTGCTGGCGACGTTGCAACGTTACCCAGTTCCAAATAAAGATTACTAACGCCAAATAAGCAACATTTTCATTTTAACCGGTAATCAAGATTTGACCGCTGTCGACACAAGTCATCCGTCAGTGGAGTACCGCAGTAGCATGGCATGTTTGCCTTCACCATTGTATTCAAACGAATCACGTGGTGTGCCGTTCTCCTTCAAACCCGGGATTCGATCAATAGGGGAGTTTCAAAAAAAAAACATCGCAATCATGCAAGTTCAACATTTTCAAACCAGTATACTAAATCAGAAATGCTCAGCGATGCAAAAGAAGAATAGATATTACTTTTCACTATACACATCTCTGTTGATACTATTCCTCATATTCTACTCCCAATTACTCCTGCGTAAAATGGACTAGCCTCTTTTCATGTTGACATTCAGAGTAAAATCATGTGACAGGCTGTTAAAATTGGATGTTGCATACTCTTTCGCCGGTCTGGAAAATGTGTTTAATTAGCTCTCATTCAAGCAACAATACAGATTTCCCAGTGGGAGTGAAGCTATGCTTAATTTTCAGTCAAAACTAATTGGGTCTTTAGCATTGTTCACTGGCGAGTCCAGAAATCTGGTCAATGGGGGGGGGGGGGGTTTACACGCTCCTATTGAAGTGGCCAAAGGCCACAAAAGCGCAGCTCCAGTAGGCTAAGTTTGTCAAATTGGGGGGGGGGGGCAAACGCTAAATCTGCATGTGTTGTTGTTGTTCCCAGGCACAATAATGCAATGCTAGTAATTGGTTTATGAGATATAGGTTTAAAATTGAGTAATTCAAATCAAATCTGCACATTAGCCCAAATCGTCTATCTACTAAGTTTCATTGAAATCCAGTAAGTGCTACTTTAGATATCAGTGGAAAAGACACACACCCCCTGTTTGTGTGACGGAGGAATGACATACAGACATACATACATACAGACACACTAACTGCAAAGACAGGGGCGGATCCAGCAAAATGTATTGGGGGAGGGGGGTCAGGCCTATAGGTCGAATACACGGGACGATGCTATGCGTAATCAGAATGCATTTTCATGCGTTTGGAGGCCCCCCCCCCCCCTGGATCAACCACTTTGCAAAGGCTCCCATTGTGTGCTTCCCGCGCAGGAATCAAAAATGATATTATTCTTATATTTGAGTACACCTGTGTATTTGATGTGAGCATATTTTAACAAAAAGTAGCCGTGTGTCAAAAAATCTAGGAATCATTTTCAAATCATTTTCTCGGAAGCTAATATGATTAAAACAAATACGATACTATATATACTACATGTAGTACGTGATCAAGTTTGTTTCCTGGTCAACATTAAAAGAAGATGGCGGCGATATACCTGTTTTGTTGTTGTTTTAACTCTGAAATGTTTTCAGAATTTGACTGGTCCGTAAATAAATAATTACGGCTTTTTCAAACCAGTATCACAGTGACGCATGTTGGCAACGTTAAACTAGCCACTGACATTACCGATTTTTGAACTCGGACTTCTGAATGTCATTGTGGAACTCCGCGATTGTTGATTTTCTGCGAGACGTTTAAAATGAAAGCTCACCTTATCCAGCATATATATATAGAGAGAGATTATCTCTTTGCTGAGTAGATATTTCGGGAATTATGGCAAATGTTTCATCGTGACGAAACGTTCTAAATTTACCAGCAGAGGGATTTCCAAGACCTGATGTCGTCTACTATGTGTAGCTGCCGTAGCAGACTAGCAGACTACTAGCAGTCCCTGACAGGTATGTTGTCCGCCCTCTGTGTTGAAGCCTGCATTGACTCTTCGTTTTTGTTTTTTCACTTGAGATTGTCGCATTGATCTGTTTGCGTGCGTGTATTATGACGCGTTAATTTAGTACCGCCGTTTGGTTGTTCACAACAGCTATAGATTCCCATTTTCTTGTGATTTGGGATTTGGATTTGGTAAATTGAACTTAGCTCCTAATGGCGGGTTCTCGAGACAGTAGTAAAAAGTATCTGAACTTTACGATTATGTTTGTGAAGAGGCACCATCAAGCTCTGTTGTTAAAATCGCTGATTACGTTTCTCATCTTGCCCATGTCAACAAAATTACGTTTTTTTTTATTTATTTAAATTACATTATTACGAAAATAAAAACAATGGATTAGAGCTTACGAAAATACCCCTTGCCGACCCTCTTATTACGCGTGACGATTC